GAGATGCATATAGTGGCCGTCTGTGACGGTGTCGGAGCTTCCAAACCGTTGCCCATTGCCACCCTCCGCCACTGTATGCCAATGGTGAATTATTGTGGCTGATAGTTTGATTGAAAGTTTTCAGAAACTGCATCATATATAAGACTAGATATTTTGTCATATGTTGCAGATCAGTTTTCCCAGTTTGGAGCTTATTCCCCCTGTCACCTTTAAACTGTGCTCGGGTAAAGGACCTGTGTTCATCTCTGCTCAGCATATAACATGTAAGAGCTTGCATTGGAATGCTTATTTTGTGTTGTGCACTATTTTAGCTCCTTGCAAATTCACAAGTGTGAACATTCAGGGTGCTGACGGGAAATTTGAATTGCAACGACAGGAGGATTTATGAACTGCAATTCAGAAATTTCAACATGGTTACACAGCCAAGGAGCTTCACTAGTCCAACACAAGTGTTTATATATATATATATATTTTTTTTTTTTTTTCATTTGATTGTATACATTTCTTTAATACTATGAAAACAAATAAAACGGCCACCAATGTTGATTTTCAGTTTGCTAAATATCCACCTCGACACTGTCAGATAATTTTAGAAATATTGACATTAAAAATTGTTGACTTGGATATTGTAATTTCCCAAAACCATCCATGATTCCCATGTATGTAAACATTAGTATTTTAATATTTAAAGAACAAATACAAATTCTGTATTTAAATTCTAAATGGTGCTCAACCATGCTATTGCTAAAATTAATTTCTGCCTTTTTTTTTTTGGTTGCAGTGAATCCCATTGAGATGACAGAGGGGGAGGAGGATGATGATGAGGATGAAGATGATTAAATGCCAATCATGAGAGCTTATTTTGACCGTTTGAACCATAATGGGTCCTGTGGGACAGTGATTGTGCCAGTATTTGTTACTGAAGCATCACAGTGTTTGTCAACATTAAAAAACTATTAACTTCAAGTGTTTTAATGCTAATGAAAGACAGAGTAATAAAATATGAGTCTCAGAGTGTAAATAATACCACACGATTTTATCGGATGTATTTTTCCCTATATGTAGACCGAGATGCATACCTACTTGTACACAAAATGTTTAATAAAACATGCATTTGACTTGAAGTGAGAAATAGAGTACATACTGGTGGTGAAGTATTTGTGAATCCTACTTATGGCAGCATGTTAATTATAAAATAAATGTTATGATTTCTAGCTTGATGAGGGTATAACATCCTGACAGAGTTTATATGAGCTGTTGCTAGGAAACAGTCACGCATCTAAGCAACAGACGGTGAACAAACCCTTGCAGTTGCCATTGACATAGAGCTGCAGAATGAGTGCTGTTTACAGTGAGAAAAGAAGTCAATGCTCCAGCACAAGATGTCTGCTCGCTTTGTGTTTGGTGGCGCAGTGTTCATGTCAGCTGAAATTAACCTTCTAGAGGATTTCAAGTGAGACACGCACCCCGATAAAGTGAAATATGGCAGGGATGGGTGAGTGATTTTACTGCCTCTGCCCCACACTGGACACGGACTGCCGCCTGTAATGGTGATGGCACATAAAAGAAACCAAAATTGAATTTTAGCCTGTGTGTTAGACTCTTAAGGTCGTTTACATGCTAATGTACTCGTAAAATGTTAGAAATACAGGAACACACTAGTCTGCATGCCAAATACCACATACTTTTTTTAAAACAATAGCTTTTCTTCTTTGTTTTTTGCAAAATCCATTCTATTCTCGAGGAATACTTAACCATAAAAAATGACAAGTCCATTTGCGCTACAGGTTAAAAGTCTGGAATAATTTTTTTTTTAAATGTATTATTATTATTTATTTTAATCATAAAAAAATAAGAAGCTGAATTTTCAGCAGCCACTACTCTGGTCTTTAGTGTCACGTGATCATTCAGAAATCATGTTAATATGTGTTTTGTTTGATTTTTAATCGATTTTGGAAATAATGTATTTGTGGAAATGGGCATATATTTTTTGGTCAGGATTATTGTTTAAAATATTGAACAAAATTCACAGTATTTATTTGAAATGGAAATCCTTTATAACTTTATAAATGTCTTTACCGTCACTTTTCATTAATGTAATGTGTGCTTGCTAAATAAAAATAATTTATTTCAAAATGATAATAATAAATCTTACCCCAAACTTAACTCAAAATATTAAGCAGCACAACTGTTTGGAACACTGATAATAATAAGAAATGTTTTTTGAGCAGCAAATTATTAGAATGATTTCTGGAGGATCATGTGACACTGAATACTGGAGTAATTGATGCTGAAAATACAGCTTTGCATCACAGGAATAAATTATATTACAAAATATATTCAAAAGAAAACCGTTATTATAAATTGTATATGATTTCACAATATTACTGTTTGTACTGTATTTTTAATCAAATAAATGCAGCTTTGATGAGCAGAAAAGAGTATAGAGTATATTGGAGAGCATGAACACACCGCATGGTTTCCTCTTGTACGAAAAATCAAGCAGCAAATTGCCACAGACCCGACTCTAACCCCAGAGTACCCACCCATCCTTGGGATCCCAGAATTCACCAGAAGGGCAACCAAATAAAACGGCCACCAATGTTGATTTTCAGTTTGCTAAATATCCACCTCGACACTGTCAGATAATTTTAGAAATATTGACATTAAAAATTGTTGACTTGGATATTGTAATTTCCCAAAACCATCCATGATTCCCATGTATGTAAACATTAGTATTTTAATATTTAAAGAACAAATACAAATTCTGTATTTAAATTCTAAATGGTGCTCAACCATGCTATTGCTAAAATTAATTTCTGCCTTTTTTTTTTTGGTTGCAGTGAATCCCATTGAGATGACAGAGGGGGAGGAGGATGATGATGAGGATGAAGATGATTAAATGCCAATCATGAGAGCTTATTTTGACCGTTTGAACCATAATGGGTCCTGTGGGACAATGATTGTGCCAGTATTTGTTACTGAAGCATCACAGTGTTTGTCAACATTAAAAAACTATTAACTTCAAGTGTTTTAATGCTAATGAAAGACGGAGTAATAAAATATGAGTCTCGGAGTGTAAATAATACCACACGATTTTATCGGATGTATTTTTCCCTATAACCGTTATTATAAATTGTATATGATTTCACAATATTACTGTTTGTACTGTATTTTTAATCAAATAAATGCAGCTTTGATGAGCAGAAAAGAGTATAGAGTATATTGGAGAGCATGAACACACCGCATGGTTTCCTCTTGTACGAAAAATCAAGCAGCAAATTGCCACAGCCCCGACTCTAACCCCAGAGTACCCACCCATCCTTGGGATCCCAGAATTCACCAGAAGGGCAACCGAACTTGCATTGGGCAAAGATAGCCCTGCCATTATGGAAAGCAGGGTAACATTGTTTTAATTGTTTTCAGTAAACGACGTCACACTGTAGACCATCTTTCCATAAAATATTATCCCACAATTGTTGAACGCTCAAGTTAATCCCCAGTCCCGACTGATCCACAGCGACTCACAAGCTGAATACACTGATAGTGCATGAGAGGCTTAGTACATACCCACTGTGTAGTTTGTTTGCAGATGGTGTAAAGCCAGTCACCTTCAACGCTATCAGGAAATGTCAGTGCAAGCTGTAAACCAAATATAGCTTTTGATTATTGAACTACGGAGATAATGTGACCCAAATGGGTTAGTCACACACGTCAGTAATTAAAGATACTGGTGCTGAATAGAAACTAACCACCACTGATCACTTTACTGTTATTAAACTGATTAAAGGCGTGTTCACACCAAGAACGATAACTATAAAGATAACGATATTAGCATCCACACCAGCGAAAGATATCATCTGTAAGCGCACGCTCGTCTGCAGCTTTAAATTCTCGTGCTCATTATAGCAAGATTGATTCTGATTGGCTGTCAATGTTTTTATCGTTCATCAACTGAATAAAATAGTTCTGAAAGTGATTCCAACGATATTGTTTCTCTGTGCCTTTATCGTTATAGCTTCGGTGTGAACTCTGCTATTCTTTAATATTGAGAACGTTTTTTTAGAGCTATATCTTTATCGTTATCTTTATAGTTACCGTGCATGGTGTGAACTGGCCTGAACACTTAAGTTTTAATAGTCCGGTTAAAACAATTAAAGGCCTGACACAAACCCCAGCCTTCACATTTCATTCATCCTTAAGCTTTTCAACCAGGTGGAACAAGCAAATCTTGGTTTCTTTTATAAATAAATTCGGCATTTGGTCTTTGTCAGAGAAATTTTCTCCATGATTGTCCCCCAGAACTGTCAAAAGTTGTGATAGACAAACAAGCTCAGGTGTCTTATTATGGCAAGTCTGTTTTTCACACACAGTCAGGATTGGGGGCATGTCCAGTTCAGAGGAGGGAACATGTGCCCACGAGCTCAGACGTTTGAGCAGAGTTCATTTTGAATGCAACTTCCGAAGCACTGTAATTATTAAAAATTAATGCATAATTTACAGTACATTTATGTATTTATCCAAAGCAACTTATAGTGCATTTAAGATACACATTTTATCAGTTATTGCTTTCCTTGGGAATTTAACCCATGACCTTTGCGTTTCTAATTCCATGTTCTAGAGTTTTGATCAACAGGAAGACTTGATTGTTTTATAGGGATGTCCCGGTCAGGTTTTTTGTGCTCCTGTTCCGATCCAAGTCATTGAATATTGAGTATCTGCCGATACCGAGTCCCAATCCGATACTTGTATATTCTTATTGGAATGTATATTTGGTGCACACTTACAGTACATTAAAATCAATCCAATGTATGCAGAGTTGTGCAGAGAACAAAAGTAATATATACATGATGTATGTTTATGTATATTTATTACAAGATACTCTCTCTCTCTATGTATATATGCACACACTGTATACAGATATTGACATATGTAAACATGTTACAATGGTAGACATTGTAAACAAACTCTGTGGTCACAATTATTAATATGGAACTACTTGATATAAACTGCTTATATTTTATATGCATAAAAGCAGAGTAATTGCAACATAAAGTGAAGATAAGGTTAGAAAGCATGAAGCTTGTGCTGTCAGAATGCCAGTCTGTCAGTCAAGTCTGAGTTCAATGGGACTTGTGACCATAGTAAGCTAACAATGTTTTTGGGAAACACATCCCAGATCTGCTACGCGCACTGCTGCTGTAGAGTAAATAATTGCTACTTGCTGTGAGCATGTACAGCTACCACATAAATCATGTTGATCTAGGCAGGTGGAGCTGGGGGAGGTGGAGGGTTTTAGAGAAACTGCACTGCAGCTTACAGCGACCACTGAACCAGACCATTTAAATGCTAAGCATGCAATCTCATTGGCCATTCAGCTTGTGCCATGTAGTAAATGATGTGGTTACCAGCAGATTGCATCCAAAGCACCTGCCATCTAGAGTTTTATGACTGAACTAGACATTCCGACTTAAAAAATAAAAAATACAAATCTGTAGATCTCGCATTTTTAAATGCAAAAATGTGTTCTGCATAAATGTGTAGTGCATTAACTGGTGCACCTCCAAAAATATTTTCTTGACATCACTGTGCACACTAATAATTGTTTATTGTTGTTTTAATTTAAAGTGGATCAGGAGTAATTATAGTAAAAAAACAAAAAAGCCTACTTTCATCTGAAATGAATGATTTTCATTCATTTCAGATACAGTTTCTGAGTGTTATTTACATGTTTTTCATGATTAAGTAGTATCAAATTTCAATGGAAACATTATTTCCATTGAATCAAGGATAAACTGAAATTCACAGCATTTCAACAACTTTGGTTCACATATTAGAAGGCCTTAAAAACAAGTGGTGCCGCCGATAAAGTAAAAAGTTAGTTACAAACTAGCTAGTAGTTATTGGGCCTGTATTGTGGACTTTACATTCCAATTTAAGTAAGAACTTATGAAGAGCTGTTGCAACCCTTGCCAGTAATTTATAACACACATTTGATTTTTGAATATGCAGCCGTAACACAATCCGTTACACATGATAATGTTGCCATTTACACTCATTTGCATTTTAAGAGAGTGAACATACTGTATGTGAATACATTTACTAGCCACTAATTTTAGACCAAATCTGAATATGAAACAAACATTTGATTTTTTGCAGTTGTAACACACATGTTAATTTCTCTATTGTTTCTTGAAGACTCGCTGGTACTGGTAGGCACCTTTAAGGCAGCAGGGATTGAGGATGTGCATCATTATCGGTACTGGGATGCAGAATCCAATGG